CCCACGAACGAACGAACGAACAGAGTCGGTGTTCGTTGACACCTTTACAGTTGACTCGATACCTAATTCACCAGATACCACAGACTAAGGTGTCAATGGGACGGATAGTGTTCGTCCGTCGTATCGTGATTTTTTTTGAACGATTTTGTTCGTCTATTTAGGATTCAGGACACACGTACGAACACAATATATCACAAATGATATAAATCTGTATAAAGAATATCAGGAATGAATTCTCCATAAAAAAGGGATAATAGCTTATTAGATGTTTCAAAAATTGAATATTAGGACGAAATGTGTGTGTGACACGGTGTGCGTAAAGGACAATGTTCTCTTTCAATGTGTTAATAACAGCTTCACGTGGTACCGTCTAGAGGGCGTCTTGGTGTCTTACATCAAATCTCTTCCATACATTTAGATACGAACAACGCGCTCTTGAAAAAATCCTAAAACGGATGAATATCAATAATAATTGTTCGTCCTTGAATCCCGAACAGACTTACGAACATGGAAAGTTCTGTCCACTGTCCTTCCTTTTGATACCTATATTTACTCCAAACTCTATCTTTTCATAAATTAGCATTTTACATAGTGGTTTCTGCTTAGTTGTTAATAATTAACAGCGCTATCAGGTTCCAAGATAATAGAATAATATCTTAATAGCGGTATTACTTATTTCTTTAATTCTCCCTTTCTTTCTTTAATAGCTGCAATGTCATGGAATGCTGGAGACGATGTGCCGCCCCCAAAACCATCCCGAGTTCCACAACAAGTCGATTCCTCCTCAATGCTATCATTGGGAGAAAACGCCATAGCTCCACCACAAACATATATAATAGCTCAGAATGCTGCAGTTTTAGCTCAATTAATGCGGGAAAATGAAAACCGTCCACTGAATGCTTCAGCTTATAATACACCTGCAACGGTATTCAATACATTGGGGGTACATGTTGATGTATCAAAAAATGAGCCACTTCCAAACGAAATGCCAATATTACCTCTCAAAACGGTAATGTTGCCTGCATCAGAATTACTAAAACTCAATCCAATGATGGATGATAATTCACATGCTAATAAGTCATATGCTACTAACTCCATTAATACTGACGAACAGACCATGACGTTCGGACCTCAGCTACAATCACAAAATGATAATGCCAGAGGCATGCCTCCCATTTATCCAACTCCATGTGAAATAATCAACACAAAAACGCAACAAATTCATTCCATTGACCCAATATACAAACAGACATCAAATCTCTCTCAATCTACACCATATTCTCCAAATCTACCACCTCTGAATGGAGATTCAAGTCAAAAATCACGGAGCTTGGAGCGAAGCGCATCGCGAATAAGTTCGCTAGATCGTGCACAAAACTCAGCTCAATTTAAGCAACTTCGATCAAATTCTTTAACGCGTCAGTTTAGTTCTGGCACTGAAATATCGGTTTGTAACTATTATGGTTCTAGTTTCATTACAAATTCACGTTCTGGTAGCCTCGAACGTGGTGCTCGCATTAAAACAATAAATTATGGATTTCGAACGAACAGTTCGGAATGTGGAAGTCAAATTTGTCCACAAAAATTTCAAGGAGAAAGTCTCGAACGAAATCAATCTGTTGGAAATAGCCACAGTGTGATCAACATGCGAAACTTCCAACGTGGTAGTTTAGAACGAAATCATCAAGGTACACACATAAGTATTATAGCTGTTGAAATGAATATGTTATATAACTATGCAACCTAGAATGGAAGATCGATTTTGAATTTCAAGAACATAGATAGAAGAGTTCGGGAAATTAAATCCCATAAAAATTGTACTTGAATTTCCGAAATACTGTTCGCTGCGTCTTATTTACATCTTGGCTCAAAGGTGACTTGAAGGTTCTTCATTTTGGAACGATCTCATTATAGTTGTGTAGTAATCTAGCATAAAATTTGAAAAACTAATAATCATCTAGTTAGAACAAAACAATAGTACAACTATTTAAAAATTACTCTTTTCCCAACATCAATGTAAAACGAAATTTCAATTGATTTCAATAATGTAGTTTCAGCAGATCCGTCTGTTCTAACTTATAAATCACATCCTAATAAAGCTATGGAAGCTACGGAACCATTCCAAGAGGCCATATATGACTTTGGCGGTGCTAATGTGAAGAGTTGTGCTAGTATTGCACTTAGCAAAAGTATTTCTAAAGGACTTATTCCACCTGGAAAATGGACATCTATCTCGAATCAAACCCAAAATATTAACACGTCACCAAATTTGAGCTTTCATCCAGCTAATAGTAAACCAGCAAATTTCCGAGGTTTTTATTCAATGGAACTTGTCCAGATTCTTTACATTATTTTTTTCTTTCAATTTTTCAAAAAAAAACTTCATACCTATTTATTTTCAAGTTTTGGATATGTCTCCAGATATTTATAAGACCTCTCATCAAATTTTTCCATAAAATAAAACTGTTGTAGGGAATGAAAGAAGTTTTTCAAGGAGACCCTAACATGTTTACATTTTTGCCACTATATACAAATCAAATGTAACTTAGTGGCGCTAGTTTCTACGTTAGGGGATTTCACTTGGACGTATTCTTTGTTTAGGGACTTCGATGATCTTGATTCTCCCGATTCAGGCAGACTAGTAGGTTTTTCGTTCGTTGTTCGTAATTACTCTCACAGAATTATAGTTTGGTCTAATGAATAGTGACTAATAAGATAGTTACTACTTATTACTAGTAACTTCCAATAACTAGTAATGTAATAATAATTTATCTAGTGAGTATAGTTACTAGAATGTTATTAGTCGAACGAGTAATAAGATGCACGCAGACGTATGCAAGTCGAAAATCCTAGAGGGGGTAAAAAAAATTGGCACATGGGGGTCTAAAAATTTTGTCAATGGGTGTCGAAAAAAAAGTGAAGACCTAAAAAAAGGTCCTCACTTTTGAAAGTCGATTCTATCTAGTGTAAAACAGTCTAAATCGCTCGAAGGGGGTCTCCGATTTTCAAATCCTAGATGGGAGGTAAAACCGGAAACCCACCTTGAACACGTCTGGATGCACGGCATCTTTTTAGTATTGTTATTGGATGAAATGTATCAGTAATAAGATTCGGTGAAGTTATTGTATTTGGATGTTTAAATTAAAATTAACAATCGATTTATTTATAAAAATTATATTGATATAACGAATAACGAACAACGAACGAACATTCCATTTTCTCAATTTAAAAAGACGTTCGGAAAGAGAAACAAATAGGGGAAGGTCCCCACCAATTCGGAACGCACATCGAAATAATTTGAAAGAATTCTAAAAAATCAACATTTTTCCAAATTCTAAAGTTATACGACTTAGTAAATGTAAAAACCTCACTTTTGAACCTTGCCGCTTGTTGAAATTCGAATCAGTTGAAAAAATGTACCCTGTTGGCTAGGGGTGATCAATTTTCAAAAAAAAAAGGATTCAAAATTTAATAGTGCGGGATCGAAAGATCATGAGGAGAGATGAAAATTTTGTTCCGGCACTTTTTTGATATATAGTGCCTGGTGTCACCCCGGATTTTTTTTGAAAATCACCTAAAAAATGACCATTTTTCGACATATTGTCGCAATTTGCTCTAAATGTAATGCATAAACATACCGTTTTTTTGCCGTAATTCGGCAGCTCGTAACAAACTACGTTGAATAGGATCGATTTACAGCGATTTATTCCAGGATATTCAAAAAAAATAGTGTCAATTTGCCAAAAATCGCCGAAATTTGTCATTTTTCTGTATATTTGCCCATTTATGGTGATCCAGTCCACTATAAATCAATCTAAAAATACCTCTATCCGACTCAGTTTGTTCCTAGCTATCGATATAACGCCATATCACAACTCAAAATGTGCCTCTGGACATGGATAGAGCAACAAATATTCGAAAATACCTTCAAATTTGGCCATTTTTTTCAATTAAAAATTCTAAAAGCCAAATTATAGCCAACATACGTACAAAAATGTGTCTATATCTAGTCAATTTTAGACGAGGGATCGATTTCTAGTTTCATTTGTTACAGGTTTGTGTGATTTTTGTGTCAAAAAGTACGATTTTCTGGGACCAAATTGTGCAAATCACGACCATGAGCTTCAGTTTCACGGCTAAATCACCCCATTGAGCAAACAATTTCTGCCTTTGCTACCTTTGAACATCTAGTATGATCCCTCACGAACATTTTAAGTACCTACATGACCAAGTCGAGTGATGTTTTCATATATTTCTAGCCGCATATTCGGTTGATTCGATTTCAACTCTCAGAAAATCGATTTTTGGCCAAAAAATCCTTAAGTATAGACCTTTTAGGGTGGGTGTCTTTGTGCAAAGTTATTTTTCTTCGAAAATATGGGGAGTCTTACCAGACAAAAACTCTGAAAATTGGCTTTTTGAGGTACCTCCCGAACAAAAGTTACGTTTTTCATGCATTTTGCTATGAAAATATCATTTTTTGTTCGAGAGGTACCTCAAAAATCATTCTTAAGACCTTCTGTTTGAGTAGATTCACAATTTTTTCGAAAAAAATAACTTTTTGCTAAGACCAAAAAGTGTATTTCTAGGGTACCTCCCGAACAAAAAATGATATTT